CAGAAGCGTGCATCAAAATCAGAACTGATTTTATGTCGCGGTAGCTTGGCCTGTGAGAAATTACCTGTTCGACTAGCTTTTCTAGCTTCCATATAGCCTGAAATCTCACAAAACTTGCCAAAAAGTCACAAAACAATGCTTTATCGCACGTACATCCTTCAGACATCTTTTCTTGTGAACACCCTCGCTTCAACACAAATGTTTTTCTGTCGGCATACTTACTTACTAACTTGGGCCCTTGGCCCAGTGCGCGGAGCATAGGCCACCAATGATCCTCTTCCATCCAGCTCGTTTCTTGGCTTCCCTTTGGACATCCTCCCAGCGCATGCCGACATAAGGGATCCTCAAAACACTAGGAGGAATATCAAGGAGCAAACCTAGTACTTGACATCCCGAGGCATGTAGACAGAAGGCATTGCCAATGTAAACCACAGCATGGTGTCACAAATTGACAAAACAACGCTTTATCTTACCTACATCCTTCAGATATATTTTCTTGTGAGCACCCTGGCTTTGACACAACTCTTTTACTGTGGCGTAAGGGAACTTCCAAAACACTAGGAGGAATATCAAGAGGCAAACCTAGTACTTGACATCCCGAGGCACGTAGACAGAAGGCATTGCCAACGTAAACCACAGTCTAGTGTTTGTGTTTCCCATTTGTTCTTCGTTAGGGGATAAACTTGAACCTCTAAAGCGTAAGAACATTATCGAGGCTGTCCGTTGCGGTTAGAGACCTGCACTTGAACTTCCCTAGCCTTTAAAGTGCACCGAGCTCTTAATCTGAAGCCAGACATCTTTCTTAAGTAGTCTAAAGAAAGGCGAAGTAAACTACAAAGAAATGACACAGCTGTTGTTGCCACAGAGGCTCATGTACTTGACCGAAGGTACCAGTGTTCTAGCCAGGATTTTTTCATAGCATAGGGGTCAGGTGCAGAAGAGTAACTTTCGTGGCGCACATCGCGCACTGAGCCGAAATATTTTGAAACTCATAACCCCCTGAGACACTTTTTCTTGTTTAATGAGGAACAGATTTTGGTTTTCCCATTGCTATAGCTTCAATCTAAAGTTATTCATTCTAAAGTTATATTTTCATTTTTTGGCAAGATTTATGAAGGTTCTCCCTCCCAAAACACCCCTATGCTGGTTGAAAGACAGCATAGGGGTCAAATTATAGCATAGGGGGTCAAAATCATAGCATAGGGGGCCCCTATGCTAAAAAAAGGCCTGGCTAGAATACTGGGTACCATTGTGGTAAAATGTACGCTGACGTCTCGAGGATATGTTGAGGTTAGGCACGTGTCGTCTTACGTGAGAGAATTCTGTAGTTTCCTCTCAGATGGAAATACGACATTCATCGGAGACGAATAGAAGACATGAGGTCGCCAGAAACGTCTCTCTTGGCCTTCAGACATCTCCACATCAGGGGAACAGTGCGAGGTTTTCCTGCAGTGTCCCTGACAGAGTCAAGACCACTTCTGTATCGGTATCAGTATAGCCGGTATGACCGCCCTTGACTTCGGCGTAATACACCGGCTTCGCAGGCACGCGGCGTGGCGGCAGCTAGCTATATCACACCGAACGGCTTGTTACACTCAATCTTTGCACATCTAATTACCGGAGTTGTTGAAACCTTTCTAGTCATGATGCCCCAACTGTGCCTGGTGGCAACGAATTCCACTCTGTGATAGTTCTTGGGAAATGCGAGTTTTTGAACACCTCAATTCTTGGTTGATAACTGATGTTTGAAGGCATGACTGATTCTTGTTCTTTTTTTGGGCTGGGCTCTTATCGTAGCGGCACTTCAGCGTCGTTGGAGGATCCGCACGTGCGGAGAGCCACAGACGCACCTAATCTCCAGGCAGATCCCTTTCGGTGGCGAGACAGTATCCATTAGCTAGAGGAGTTTGTATAGCCTGGGTGCCAACCCCATAGCACACTGGACACAAAATATCTCAGTGAGGCTCACTGAGATACTTTGTGTCTAGTGTGCTTTGGGTCTGGCATCCAGGCTAAGTTTGTACGGCCACCGGTGGCTAATGGACACTCCTCTGGCCAATGGATAAGTAGTTTGCGTTGCCACCGTATGATCTGCTTGGAGATTAGGCGCACCTGCAACGCGCCAGAAGTTATCAAACAGGAAGTCCAGGATCGTTCTCAGGAATGTCTGAGGACCCTGAGCGAGTCGTGAGCCGAATTCTCTCGTGATTTGCCGGCAGAATGTTGATACGTACGCGGCCATACGTGTGCGCCTGCTGCGTTCTTCTACAAGGTCATTACCATAAGGAGAGCCTTCAGTTTTGTCCTGCATTTCGTGACACCAAAGGAAGTAGAACAGCCAGTGAAAAATACAGTTTTAACTCTTAATCTTTGTGGGACTGTCAACGTTAAGATGTTTGTCAAAGGGGCCACGCCCAAGGGAACATGACGAAGGCAACCTACTAGATTCCACGTTCGTTAGAACCGGTTATATGAATATTGGCTGAAATCGGTTTCTGCAACATAGGTTTGGAATTGTGTTCATAGGTAATAGTCAACAGACGGTCATGTCTACATTTGTAACTAGATTCCTATTGCTGGTGTCAATATCTTATTAGAAACAGCTACTACATTTTAGGCAGCTACTACATTACAGTATCTTGCTCTAATTTATCCAGAAATGCAATGAGGTTTCCTCATTACTCATATAGGGTAAGGTATGGATGACAACTATATACTACTGCACTATATTGACCAGAAGCCTATTGAAATTTATAAATGCAATGTAGTAGACAGAGAGCTCCACGTGTCTTCTGCATCGGCCGAATATGGACCTATGCTAGGCTTTCATCATTCCGATTGAGGCGCAGTAATTATTCTACTACTTAATAAAATGTTACGACCTTATTATGAGGATTTAGCGAGTGTATTTCTCTGGGCTTTCCAACATTCTTTCAGCTTGCTGATTGACTCCTATTAAGAGGTTGATCTCAACGACTTCGGCGATCTTTGATTCAGTGCATACAGGCGGTTTTAAGTTACACTGATTTCCTTCCCTAATTGCAAAGAACAACTAACCACAGTCCAATTTGCAACTGCAACTAATGGTGGAAAGATAAGGACCTTACCCCCCCCAGTGCACTTCATTGAGTTCGTTAAGTTTGATTGGTTTTGCGGTGTTTGCCAATATTGGTGGAACAGTTTACTTAATGGATGGTGTACTGCAACTAATTGAATCAAAGTAATATCAGACTTACGTCGGTGAAGGTTAGACATCCAGGTAATAAGATACGCCAGAAAGCGGTTAATTGACAAGCAACTGGATATGATTTTGGGAACGGTCAGACGTTTATTTCAGCTAGTATTCACTAGCTTTCGTCAGTGACTGTGAGACCAGGGAACGCCTGACCGTTTCCAAATTCATATCCAGTTGCTTTTTGGTGTATATCTAATATCAGACTTGAAGGAAGGTTAGCAATTACTGGTTGCAGGGTTTGATTTGTAGCAGTGGCCCTGATGTGTTGCTGCCCTGCGATAAGACGAATGTAAGGTTAGAACTTAGACGGACGAAGATGTCATCTGGTTAACATTGGCCTTCATGAACCCAAATTGATTCCATTAGAGACAATGGAATGGCGTTAGAACTTGACCTTGTTTTGGTGGTCTAGCATGTCGGGAGAGGAAGGTTTGGGAAGATTGCATTAACAGACGAGAACCAGCCGGCTGTGTTATTACACAACCGCCACCCTTGTTGCTTAGTCACCCAACTTAACAAACAAAACCTATTCCATCAGGGGACTGGGCTGTTTCCCTCACCACCTTAGTCAGCGGCTCCTGGGCGGCACTGCGGGAACTGATAGATCGTTCTGCAGTTGAACCCTACAGAAGACCAACCATTTGGCCACTGTTATCATGACAGATGTTAGCTGTTTGCTGACGGGAAAGTTTTATCGCCGAAGGTAGATTTACTTTAGTTCCTTGAACCCACTACTTCAAATGTCTCATGACGGATGCAGTTGAAACCTTTGCTTTGGGATAGGAATCTACCGGTAAGCTGAGGAAAGCAAAGGTTGAGGCTTTTCTTGAGTGTGTTGTTCGTACACATGTGTTGCCTGGTGATGATGGTCTTGGATTACCGCTCACTATAGCTAGATGAGACTTGTTACTTAAGAAGTGTCCAAGATGATCATGACCTGAGCGGATCTGGCCTGAAGCAGTTCAAGACTCTAACATCTTGAACAAATACACTTGGAAGGATCTGAAGTCGCAGCTGTGTGGATCATCACTGTAGTGTGAGAAACTGCCAGGAGGACACAGACAGGAAAAATCAGTCAGGCAAATTTGTAACACAACGATATGACTCATCCTACAACTCGCCCTTGGCGTTCCTCCAGCAACCTCTCGGCATGTGGGAGGAGGCAGCTTAAAGATAACAAATGGTTGTCTGAGTTCTTTTAATCCACTGCTGTTATAGCAGCATCACTGGTACTCTTCACCTACCTGACAACTCCCATTTATGGATGTTAAAAGAATAGACGAGTGTGTGTCTGTGTGTGTGTGTGGTCACTGAGTCAGAGGTGCTTGCCAACCTCATTGCGTGATCTGCACATATTCTTCTTATCAGGTTGTTGTATCAAATACGAGAAAAATAGACAAGAACAAAGTGTCTATGCACTTCTATTTATATCAACAGTACCACATATCAATGACTAAATAAAATAAAAACGTGCACTGACCCAATGTCGTAAGTACAAATCGTGCTAGATTATCTAGTATATGAGACATTGGCTCTTTCTCCATGTCCCAATCTGTTATATGTAGACAAAGACTTTGGTTTACTGCAACACGGAAGTATCATCATTGTAGCAGAGCTACAGGTTCTATGATATGCTAATAAATATACCAAGTTACCATCATAATCTCGTCTGACACTCACGATTTTAGCTTCCCTTTTCATTTATTTTATTTATTTCAAATTAGATCTTTCCCATTAAAATGTATGTTTGTTACGTACTCTCCAGGTCACACCCATGCACAAACTACGGCGGCGTCGAGCCCTCTGCCCGACCTGGCCAGCCCCTCACAGCCGGTGGACACATCGCCACAGGACGCAGAGGACACAACACAGCTCCAAGCAACCACCGAGTTCTACTCATCTGAGGCCTCGGCCACCGAAACACAGCCGGGGGCACCCTCGGCTAGCGGAACAGCCACAGACCCAGGGATTCAAGCTGTGACGACCGCCTCAGAAGCTGTCGCGGCTGACAATGTTACCGTTCTCGCAGCAGGTGCAACAACAACTGTGTTGGCAGCAACAACGGAAGCAGGGTCCACCGTTGCAAGAACAGCTACAGAGCAACAGGTGGCAGATAATGATACCACTGCTGCACCTGTCGCGGTGGGAGTATCTACCGTGACATCAGGGCCTAGTGTAGTAGATACCAGCACCGTACAAATGATGGCAACGACTGAAGAGGTGTTGGAAACAGGGTTTGAGGACCTTGTTCCCGGAACCGACGAGCAGCCAGATTCTTCAGGTGTGACCAAAATGCCGGAGACTACTACAACTCCTCCACCAGTCGTGGTGATGGGGAACACCACAGTCGCCTCAACTGCTGTGCCTGGAAACGTGACAGAAAATGCCACACGAGCTGCCTTTCTACCCTTTATACCCCGTACAACATCCCGCCCTGTTGTGTCTACACGAGCGAGCACAGAGGAGCCAGCGGTGTCTACAACACTCAGGCTCACCACACAGAGCGTGCCGCGCACGACAACGGAGGACCTGTCCAGGGTGAGTGATGGATTTTCTAGAAGCGAAAACACTTCTTAAAAAAAACACTTCCTTTAACCAGAAAAGCTTCCCCTTACAGGATGTTGGCGGTAAATAGAGTGATGGTAATCACGAATCGTGAAGTGGTCAACATGACGGAGACACGAGAGAAGTACTCCCCCCTGGTTCCGGTTGTTGGCCTGTGTCCAACCTCTTCTTCTAGACCACACCTAAACACGACTAACACCGGATAATCTCCATCCTTAGTCGGTGTCAATACACTTTGACTCAGCGAAAACAGCCTGTAGCAACTGTGCTCTAATGTCATGGTTTGCCAAACGGTAAAACGTAACATTGTTCCTCCAGGATTTATTCAGTATAAACATATATGCGTAGATATTTGGTAGAGCATATACTGAGAGATGTTGTTACTATTGCGGTATGATTGTGGCTTACAAATAGCCTCCTGTGCAGGCTCCGGGCGGTTGGGAATTTTTTAGAGAATTGTTTTGTAGAGTTTTAAACGCGTTCTTTTAACAGCCGGCCATCCTACAAATAACAACCGAGAGAAGGTTGCGGAATGCAAAAAAAGTTTTCAAAATGTTTGAATTATAAACCTGGACTAAATGCAAGGAGCGGCCGTTAAGACGCTAGAAAGATGTTCTTGCACTTAGTCTACTGTGGGGTGAAATATCAGTCTATTACAGCAGTACTGACTACACATTGATGGGCTTGTAGCCAACAGGCCAGGGCTTTTAGCGCCTTCAGTGAAGATTGGAATGGATGTGCGCGGGTCAGTGACTCAGCATACATTATGTTTTGCTGCCAACGAAACGTTGTGACGACAACAGGAACGCACCAGGTTCCAATTTCCTCAAAGCATCCAAATGCGATCTCAGAGCAGCAAAACTGTAAATATTCCGAAGAATGCAATCTTTATGATATTGAAACATACTGATTCACATTAACACATTTCAAACAGTTGAGTATGTAATATTTGGGGTATTTTTTTTCAAAACTGCAAAAACAAGCCCAAAGATGATTCCTATATTTTCTGGGTGGTACCTTAAAATCAGCCAAAAGCCCTGGCTTCCATTAAGTATTTTTTCCATCAGAATTTTGGGAATTTTTGCTCCATGAGGGACAATATACATTGGGATAGTGTGTTTTCAACTCAGTATGTAGATAAATTACTCGAAGATTGGCTTTGAAATATCTGGTTTCCAAACCCTAAAATCTGCACTGGATGCCTTTAATGTCTTCGCCATGGTATATATGAATATATCTACCAATTCTCGCAACTGTCTCGGATGTTACGTCTTGTTATAACAGGGGCCATGTACGCCATAAAGCGTGAAGGTACGAGGTTGGTCGGGCGATTTCACCTTATTCTGGAAGAAGCAATGGACCTTTTAAAATGGCAGTTGGAAAATGGTTCAAGATCCATTAGATAGGCGCCAGATGCTCCCCATGGAATTCAAATTCTTGAGAATTCGACAGTTCTTAGAAATTGGTGTCAAATTTCCTCGTGGTAACCGGGGCGGTGTCGCTACTAATGGATTTCTGGTGTACCGCAGTGCATTTCTGTGACATCCCCTGGGGAATATTGTGAAAATGTCAGTTCTTGGCGTCCTCATTCTAGTTCCCCCCTTTCGGCCCACATTTTACATCCCTGGCCTGAAGATAGGTTGTAATGCTGGTAGCAGAATGCCAAAATCCATTCCAAAGGACAAGAAGAAAATGGGAAAGAACGCAAATGAAGACTCTATTATTCACCATGCCAATAAAAAATTGTTCAACCTTCATGACCGCCTAGATTTTATAATGAAGGCAACTTTTTTTTGCCAAACTTTTTTTATGCGCACGCTCGCATCAGTTTGGGGGTTCCCAGATGATGCCATCCATATAATCAAATCAACATGGCCTTAATAGAAAAGATGAGTCATCACATTAGTCCATCCGGTAGGGGGATAAAATCTGGTTGATTACCCTGTGCATGGTAGCTAGCCAATAATGATAAGCGATAAGCACACCAACCGTATCTTGACCCTCGAAAATGGTAGGCCGTCTGACGCGTAGTAGCAAATACTCGCAATAGATTCAAACGCAATCAAATGAATGTTAAGCTATGACTATGAGTTTTGATATGTAATTAATTTCTATCCTTAAGAGGTATCAATGTCTTGTATGTAAGAATTACTGACGAGTATAATGGACAAACTGTAAATACCTAAAAGTTGTAGTATAAATCGAGCACAACGGACAAATTGTAAATATTTACGAAATCCAGACATAAGTCACAGACAAAGTTTCAAAGTAAGGTCTCTTCACAGTCACAGAAGGCATGTATTGAAATTCATCGCCAGGATAAGAATGGAAAACATATAACAGAATTTTTGGTATCTGAAAGTCTTCGAAAACAACCACCCTGCCTTGTCACAGTAGTTGGGTTCTGGCCACCTGTTGACGATTCCCAGGCTGTTAACAGTGTTTATTGGAACAGTCTGCCTGGTGCGCCCCTGAGATGACAACCATTTAAAATATTTGGAGCACAGATAAAGTAAAAAATGGTGTCAATGGAGAGAAATTTGCTCGAGGCAAATTCACGGATGCTACCAATTATCAGTGTTACGTTTCATGTTTTCTTGAGAGGTGGTTATGCAGTATGAGTCTAGTTATATGTACTTTGCGCCAGCTGTTGTAGAAAGTAAGCATCTTGTTTACGTTGGCTTTCATTACTCTCCAAGCAGAGGTTTGAGTTTTGGCTTATTTTTGCTTGTTTTTAGGCTTTTTATGGGGGTTTCTCGAGTTTTTGCACTGGTTGGCGTAACAAAAATTCCAATGCATAAAAGAAATCCCTATAAAAAGCCAAAAAAGGAGCCAAAACCCAAACCTCTGCTTGCAGAGTAACCTTTCATAAGACAACCACTAAAACGTTCCAAAATAGTTTTTTTTAATGAATCATATGTGGAAAGTCGCCATCATAACGGGTGTGGCAAGCGGGGCTCCTCAACTGTCAACTACAGATAGCGTTGTTGATCTTATAAATTCTTAAGGTCACTTGTTGCTCATCGTTCAAGTTTGTGAAATATTTCTGAATCCCCAGGGCTGGTCTGAACCACGGACAGACATGTGCCACACTCACTAATGGTTACAGATGAGATGATGTCACATCGTTAGCGATGCTGGTTCAATGTCACCAAGCACGTTCTGAGTTGAGTGGGCACCACAATGTATAATGGACTGGGTCGAGGGTAAATCATTTGGATCATACGGTACGCAAACTCTTCCAAAACCAGATTTCAACCTGATGGGGGCAAAACCTGTATTACTGTCATGGCAAACCATTTTGCTCACGTTCTTGAAAACAACAACTCTCCTTGGACAAACCAAACATCATAACAATGTGACGATCGGCTGCTTGTTCCTTACGCATGTTTGTGGTAGTAAAACTTCCAGACCCTTTGAATTTGCTAAAGATGCAGTGCCATCTGCTAGCTAGTCCTGGAGGCAGAAAAAAGTGCTGTATGTTGTGTAAGGTCAAACTTCAGCAAGATGAGACAAACTTGATTGATGGTCAGATACTAGTGGCAATTTATCTCTTTGATTGATTGAGTGAATCAAAATTAAAAGTTCAAAATTCTTAACGGCATTGGTGGACAAAACTCACCAAGTGAGAAGTACAAGGAATGTGGGATACTGTCTTGTTTAGATTAGACCGGGCAGCTGTTGAAGAGACCACCAAATGAACCTTCACGTCCTTTACGTAGCCACAACAAGTGTTCCCCAACAGGCGTGCTGGAGAAATAAACATCTTCGGAGGATGGCAGCCATCCCAACGGGAGGAATTCTCTTCTGTCAGGCCATGTTGATTTGATTATATGGATGACATCCGCGCGCGCATGAGTTTTCAGCCATTTCAAAAAAAAAAAAAGTTTTCAAGCATACTGTAAATCGCACAAAACAGTTGCAAAATGAGCAAATATATACCGTAAGTTTAAAAAAAGAATCGGAAAATGATACCAATGTCGTAGAAAGTCAAACTCAAACAAAAGAGACGAAAATGTAAAGAAATGAATTTGAAGAGTTGATTATTTGCCATACCATACCCTGTGTCATTTGTTCAACCTTCATGACCACGTAGATTTCATAATGATAGCAACTTTTTTTTGCTAAACTTTTTTTTTATTCGCACGCTCGCATCAGTTTTGGGGTTCCCAGAGGATGTCATCCATATAATCAAATCAACATGGCTTGACAGTTGAAAAAAAAAAGGATGCGTAAATTGAGTCAAAACAGGCTGAAGAAAACTGATCTTTAAGCAGATCATACGGTGGCAAGGCAGTATCCATTGGCCAGAGGAGTGTCCATAAGCCACCAAAGTGGAGATTAGATGAAAACCACAATTGTGAAGATAATTATCCTTAAGTTCGTGGTCATTAGAGAGGTATTGGTAACGGAATGAGAAAAAGAAGAAATCGAAACAATCTGGTATGACAGACACCAAAAGTAATAAAGTACAGTATGGGTGCTGAGGCCTCCTTGTGTTTCAATAGCCAGGGTAGAAATAAATACCATTCAATGATGATCGACAAATGCATTGAGTATGTGCTTTATGTGCTTTATTAAACTCCATTAGCGACACACAAGACATACAAAATCAAGTACGTTTTGAACTCAACGACGTAGTGAATCCCATTGACGATACATTAGTTGGCCAAACACATCCATAACCACAGCACGTTCTAAGATCCTCCAGAAGCCTTATAATCCTTGTAAGCAGACATATCCCCGAGGTTTGAAGTGTTAAAACAAATGTATTCAGGGTATGGCTACATCTCTACGGGCGGCCTTCCGTTATAGTGATGGACACAGATGAGCTACAAGTAGCCGCACATTTGTGGGCATTACGGGCCGTTTAGCTATACCGCCATGTAGGTCTGTTAGCCTGGGTGCCAGACGCTGGCGTTTCAGAAGCGATAGATTTTTTGGGGGGAAATCCTGATGTCCGCTACAAGAGTATCCAGTGCTATCCACCCACACCCTTTTATAATATCTTTCACATAGCGAGGAGATAATTAGAGCCAGGGTGCCAAAAAGGGGTTCGCGGGGCATCTAGCTTCTCTGGCCAAAGGGATTACTAGTATCATTTTTTTTATTCAAACAACAAGAACATACGAGATGGCGACGAACTCAACTTCCTTAGAACTTATAATATTATCGCCGCCATCTACACAAAGTAATTAAACAGAGATATGATGATAAATAAATATAATTCAATAAGCGTAAGTCCCAACCCCTATCCCTTAGAATTACTGATAGTATCACTTACTCGCGGAAGGGGCTGGCACCCAGGCTAAGGCCTGTAAGAATGCCGAAGGTATACCACCGAATAGCAGCAGCACAAGGACATGTCAGCGGGCCTGCCTGCAGGAATGCGGGGAATGGCTGGTGATACGCCCGTACCGCGGCCTCGCGCCACGCCGGTCTGACCTGGGGCGTCCCGAGGGGATTCATTAGTATGGGAGACTGGCAATATTTTAACCACCGTAATCCTTACCTCGCCTTCATCAAGGCTTTGAAGTTACATATTGATTTGAACACGATGGAGAAATATTATAGCCTTGTATGGGTCCTGTTCTGTGTATAGAAGAATCGCAATGTACAATGTACTATAGTAGGTACAACTTGTATATTAACTACCGTAATCCTTAACTCGCCTTCAGCAAGGCTTTGAAGTTACATATTGATTTGAACACGATGGAGAAATATTATGTTCATCTTACGTGAAAACATACTACTATGAGGGTCTGCATGGGGGGGGGGGTCATTACGAATTACCGCCGAGTGGCAATATTTTAACCACCGTAATCCTTACCTCGCCTTCAGCAAGGCTTTGAAGTTACATATTGATTTGAACATAATGGAGAAATATTGTAGCTCTGTGTGTTCATCTTACATGGAAGCAAAAATTGTATACTACTAATCTATGAGGGTCTGTATGGGGGGGGGGTTGTTCGTCCCTCATGGTCGAGGATGACCAACGAATTACGCAAAATTTTGTGACCGATTCTCAGAGCTGATTATGAACAGTTACGCGTTACAGCTAATGACAGTAATGTAATGATTACGAATTACGATGATTTTGGGCGGCTGCCTACGGATTACGAAGACTGGCATGCAGGCCCTCTAAAAATTAGTATGTACAACTTACTTAGCAGTCTTCGGCATTCAATGCACTGCGGCGAACAGCAATGACCTTTAATTCGACTTAGATTATGATCAATGATTACATGTACACGTAGTTGCACCTGTACGATACTGGAATAATTAAGTGAGTTCGCTGAATTGCTCAGTCAAACTGAAACGACAACACACAATGCCAACTTCGAAGACGGGACCATTTCCAAAAAGATTTGTGTTTCATATAAAATACACATCCCTGAAGGAATAACTCCAGACTGCAGGACTCCGTATGTCAACAGGGGCCGAAGTGTCTGGAGTCCCTGTATGTCATGAACCGGTCCCTCTGAAAGTTCGCATAAACAAACTGGACAAGTCTCGGCTTGATAGAGTACTAGCAGACAGGCTTACGTTGTTTGTAGAAAAAGCATATAGACTGTAATAACTCATGTATCATCCTTCGGAGGCGACCTTTGCCTGAACGTACATGTAAGTGAACGTTGATACGTGAAGTGCTGTGATGCATATTCTAGTTATCTGCATCTCTTTGGTCCAAAGGCTCTCACTCAATGATGCTCCTACATCGGTCTCCTGTTATCTATCTATCTATCTAATAATAGTGGGGGTTATAGGCGCTACCAACGGATCCGTCTGATGGGTCTAGACCTTTTAGCCGAATGGTTAAAGCGCCGGGGTCTGAACTGGTGCCTGGGTTTGGCGTGGGTTCGATCCCCGGCCCGGGACCAGGAGTGTCTTTCTGTTTCTACTCTCCTAATTCTTACAGTTACTTCACAACCCTTCTACACCTTAACCGCGTCTTTAAATTTGTAGGGAACAACCCCATTCATTTCGGTATCTATCACAGTATCTATCAGTCACTGGGATAGCCTGGATGCCAGACCCATAGCACACTGGCCCAAAGTTTTCCTGGTCACTGGAAAATTTTGGGCCAGTGTGGTATGGGCCTGGCATCCAGGCTATCACTGGGAAAACGTTTTTACAAGATCATCAAACATCAAGTTATTCCAAACTAGCTCAGTGATACTGTTGATACAGTTCCCCCATCACGTCCTAGAGGCACCGGTAAGATTTTATGTCAAGATCGTTCCACCAAAGCTTGGTCTGGGCCTCAGAACACAAATAAACACCCTGCTGGGAGGTGATGGAGAGATTTAAGCTACACCTAAAATTTGTTTTCGTAGTCCCGGCTAATGTGAGAAAGGATATCCCGATACCGCCGATCTCATCCAACAGACTTGATGGATAACACGTACATATCACTGAAATGGTGAAGAGGTTAAAAGTACCAAGATGTCGAGTGAAACGCCTCAACTAATCTTAAACTTTCTGTAATCTTAGAAATAATGGATGCATTTCAGCATCCTACACAATATGTACTTTAAAACATTTGTAGACATTTCCAGGATTTACGATATATTTTGCAATGACGTGAAGTGGATTTGTGACGGCAGTCAACTGCTATCAATTTCTTTGCCACATTTTTATGGGGGCACTTTTGTTGTATTTCTGTGGTTTCTCACTTTCTGTTGGTGGGGGTGTATGACAGTACTAGAATTACACACTTAAAAAGTAGAGCACTGAATCTCTTCACATCTTTCACTATATCTATTATATTCGTTTGAGTCATTCCATGAAATGTGTTCCATCATCATTCTATGTTAACTTGTATACTAAACGTAATAATGATAATCTTTTGTTTCATTTGTCTACCTTTGAATATTGTTCTCTTAGTTGTGGCAGGTCGCTTGACAAGCCACAAAAGTAGTTTTAACCTTTTCAGAACACATCTGTGATTTATTCTAAGTCAATGAGAAATGTTGTTAACGTTTCTGTGTGTTAATGAGTTGCATGGTCTTTACTAATACTTACGTTATATTCCTCTACAATAACCCATTAATTGGCCAGGCCGTTCCGGTGGCACCACCTCAGACGACCACAGGCCCACCCACTACTACAGATCATAGACCAATGATAACAACAACAAGAACAACTTCAGTAGCAGCAACAACAACAGTAGCAGCATCAACAACAACAACAACAACTATAACAACACCAACAACACAAACATCAACACCAATGCCAACAACAGTGTCAACTCCTCGCGTTGTTCGAGGACCGACATTTCCACCCCAGGTAGTATTACTCCACAGCCGACACTCTTGCACTACAGACTGCACAGTTACCTGGGTTAAGGCCACAGCTTATGATGTTTATCCGCCATGTTTCCTTCAAGTATATCAAATATTATTAATCTCCAAGTACATTCCAACCACAGAACTGGAAGGTAAGTCAATGATCATACATGAATTTACAGCACTGATCATCATCGTGCATTGCTTGATGTCCTCATTGTATTTTTTTTTGCAAATGTGCTTCGATTTTACATATGTATGCTACAATTGCCTCATTTCATTTACACAGCACAATGCTATGATAGTGATACCATTCACCAATTATAGCTACATTTACCGTATCGTAGACTCTATGTGCTCCAATAGCTTTGCGCTATAAGCATTTAATTCACCAACTGCCAATTCTACCTGTCACATATTACCCCATTCCACAGACCCTCCCTAACGTAAAACAAATCAAGATTCAAGATCACTTTATTGAACATTGCAGAGGGAACGCTGAATTACGTCCAATTTTCAACAGGTTTTATAAACAATTCATTACAAACGGTATTTTACATAAGATAGATAGGCAATTTACACTGATTATTGCAATCTACATGTATAACAATAACTTGGAATGGTTAAAACTGGCGCAACACCTCTAAGGTACAAACACTGTAGTGAATATTCAACTGTTAAAAAAGGAATCACATCCATAACCTTGAACTATCGGACGTACCACAAATAAGAAAATCCGCAGTAAGCCGGGTCATCGCGGGCCAGACACATTGACTGGTCTGTCTCCTATGGGAGCGCTCGACGGCAATGTGTCCAACACCTAGTCTCCACCAGACCTCTTTTGCAGGCTGAATAAATAGTAGAAATCGTCCCGAAAAGGGGATACAATTGACCAGAACAGGCAAATTGGACCCTTCCTGGCCGGCCACCTACTCTGGCCAATTATGTCCCCCCTTTTAGGCCGCTTCTATTATTTATTCAGCCTGCAAAAGAAGCCTGGTGGAGACTAAGCAACACCAATCTGTGTGAAGGCAATGGACGGATGGCGTCCGTAGCCAACAGTAATAAGGGTAATGAAGCCAGCGCAGTCGCAAAATCAATCTACTGATTCATTGATTAAAAATGCCCATTCATCAATCTGGAACTGTGTTGATAACCTGAATAAGACCTGATGCATTTTTTTTTTAAATTTATTTATTGAAACAACAAAGTACAAGACATGGTACAAGACACAGAGGTGGAAACTCTAGCCGAAGCTAATATTAATCACACCACTGACATAGAATACAAATTACAAGTATAAAAATGACAAAACAACAAATGAGCGTTCGTATATACAAAACTAACGGCAATATAAATCATTAGGCAACTGTAAATCGTTGGGTATTAAGTATAAAGGTTTGAGTAAGAATCCGAATTTTTTTCTCAACTTCAAGACGTAAAGGGGCGATGCATTTCTGGCTATAACAAATGCTTCATTCTGCATTTTAAAATTACACTTTTATACTGTAAAAGGTGTGGCTTTAGATTGCATGTCAATTTGCACCTATTGGATGCAATTTCTCAGGCACAGGATTTCCTCCTGGCGAGGCGCCCTGTGGGTGCTGGAAAAGGAAATGGAAAGTAGCCAACTCTTTCAGCAATAACCGATGAGTTGAGCCAAAGACAGGAACCAAGCTATGATGAATTGCAAAATTATTTCCAATGGGAAATATATGCTTCTGGCATCGGCAATTCAGCAAGAATCCACTTGTATTATCTTCATTCCTGAACAAATATCAATTTGATGTAGATTCTTGTACATCGAATATGACATGCCTTTCGCAGCCAAACCAATATTAATAAAAACGTAAAATACGTCCATGATACGCCCCCCAAAAATAGTTCGTGCATATAAACCTGCATTTCTCCTCTGGTCTCTTAGCGTCACAGACGAAAGGTAGTGGATACTACCTGAAACGTCTGACCGTTTCCAAAATCATATCCAGTTGCTTGAGTAACTGTTTTTTGGCGTATCTTATTACCTGGATGTCTAACCTTCATCGACGTAACTCCATGATCAATCATACCTTGTAAATCATGCAGATTAACTACGCAAAACTCTACAGGAAGATATTGATGAACAGATTATAAACGTCTGTGTTTATTCTCGTTAATTGATCTCTGTCTCAGGCTTTCCCTAAGTCGTCATTGCTTTAGACTGCCCACTTGGGAAATCAATTCTGTTTAAATCCGGTCTGATAAAGTCACTTGACGTGGGCATGTAGATTTACGTTCATCCGTACGTATTTGCCATATACTAATAACGCTGTATACGTACATCAATGGCCCTCAAAGTTCCGCATTTTCGTCGTGGCGCAAAGGCGAAGCTGCCAAATATATATATATCTTTCCTAATTTGTACACAATAGTTGCATACTCATGTCCGGTAATGATAATTCATCGGAATTTATCTTTCATGTGTTAGTATAACTAAAACATGAGTGAATAGTTGTCGAAGATGTACGTATTACGTCCACTCTTACGAGCAAGGCAAACTAAAAATGTTTGTATGTTACATATACTGTGAGTTCCAGGAATATCATATATCATATGTTCGGCATAAAAAGAAGTGACTTCTTAAACTTAAAGCAACTAGTAAGAAAGCGGCAAATACATTGACAGATTGAGAAGACTCAAAACGACCCCAACTGGTACCGATGTTGCAGAAAAGGCCGTGACATAGAATTTGTACCTACACTAATTGTGAGCCTAAAGCCACATGTGGTTGTGTTAGGAATTCCTTAAGCGTTACTAGGGACCTGAAAAATGTCAGAACACAGGATGGAAAAACCATATGTATTTCCTTGAATTAAAGCTAATCGCTGTCCGCCCACTCAAAGCAAGCCATAGGTCACAGCTGACAAGCAAACGCAGCAAATGCTTCACTTTATCGGGGTTATGCATTATCGGTCGTGGACTTTAAAAATGTAACAAGTGAAATAGAAAAGTGCAAATGGACAAGTGCAAATTTGGGCAATATCAAACTGTTCCAAATGGTCCCATATCACTGTGTGCTTTTTAACATAATTCATTTTTTACCTTCAAGTTATTTCGGAATAAATGTTTTGGTTGAGTCTTCTTGCAATTTCTTTTTTCAGCTTTGCTAATAGGTCAACCAGCTGCCCTCACATTCACTCATGCTTCAAAGCACAGCAAGCTTGTGATTTTATTTTACCATCTGTTGGTCCTGTACATGTACATGTCAGCTACATACGCTTGTATGTCTTTTTATCTAGTCTATCTGCCCAGGTTGCCATTAACTCTTTGTTTATAGAGGTTGTTAAGGAACCGTGACAACAGGATACATGTTTTAATACACCAGAAACTCCTTTTCTCCAGGGACAACACAAAGTTGATCTTTTGAGGTTTGGGGGGATTAGTGATATGTCAGATTAGCTGGATGGCTAGATGTGAACACTTGCACATTTCTGAACCATCTTATTTTACTTCTCTGTCACATAAATTCCTGCTTTTTCTTTCAGTATTGTTTAATCCAATACTCTCTCTCTCTTTGTGTGTGTGTGTGTTCTTTCAGTTTTGTTTAATCCATTCCTCTCTCTTTGTATGTGAATGTGTGTGTGCAAGGAGGTTATAGCCTCCTTGGTGTGTGTGCGTGCGTGTATGTGTGCGTGTGTGTTTGTGTGTGTGTGTGAGAGCATATGTGTGTGTGTGTGTGTGTGTGTATATGTGTGTGTGTGTGTTTGTATGTATGTGTGTGTGTGCATGCGTGTGTGTGTGTGTATGTGTCCCTGTGTTAAGCACATAGCAGGAGACCTTCAATGTCTCTCCTTTGCTTTTTCTCATCCTATGGTCACCACACTCTGTTATTCTTCCAACACTCACATTGACTGAGACAAGTGATAGGATGAGAGGCAATATACAGAAGCAATAATTTTTAAATGTATATCATGATACTAAAGACATCCATTTATTCCCCCACAGTTGATCCCAAGTAAGAACCAGGCAGACCTGAGCAATGAGGAGTCAGACAACATCGTGACTGTGTTCTTCAACGGCACCAGGTCTAAACTTACTGTGAGTAAAATATTTTCTCAAGATGGTTGACATTTTCTATTCAGAACTGTATGCTTTCCCATTGACTTACATTTCATGGTGCCCATCAAGGCTGGAAAGTAAAGGTGGTCCAATGGCCACTGACCACTAAAATGTAGGCTGGGACAACTAAAAAGACACTTTGGGACATTTTTGGGACAATAGAAAAATAATCAACATCAGAATGTCAGCCCTTCTTTTGTTTATATATCAGGCACACGTCCTGGCTTTTGGATCCGAAAAAATCCCCCTGAATTTCCTGTCTATACTGGTGCAATTATAATGGGCATGGGAAGCAAAATAAAGTCGACTTCAAGTTGAAGTCATACAATACTTAAAAAAAAAACAGGTTGGGACAGTTCATCCTCACTTTGGGGCAATTGAGATTTATTTTTGGGACAGTGCTGGGACAATAGGAAGAAACGTTAATTTTGATCATGAGGCCTGGCCCATGAACTTTCATCATGGCCGTCGATCATCTTTGTTTGCACATAAATCTTCTTGTTATGATTTGTAATCATATCATTCAGCAAACTTCTCAGTTGTCTGTTTATTTATAAACAGGCAAAAGGGACCTTATTGTAGAGTGTTGAGACATTTTTCGATTGCATACATTGTAAACCTAACGTTAGGTGGTAATGGATCTCACCTGTATGATTTTTGTACATCGATTCTCATAGAACTTTTCAATCCTTGGTTTGTTTCTTATGTAAAATCCTTGGTTCAAGTTTATTGCACAATGTTTGTAGAGTTCAAGCATCAAGAGCGAAGTACATGTAAGTAGCCTTTTGGTACTCTCCAAGCAGAGGTTTGCGTTTTGGCTTATTTTTGGTGCGTTTTTACTTTTTTATTGGGGTTTCTTTTTTGTACTTATTTTGTTATGCCCAAAAAAAATTAAGTGCAAGAAAGAAACCCCAATAAAAAAGCCTAAAAACATGCCAAAAAATTAGCCAAAACCCAAACCTCTGCTTGGAGAGTAGCCTTTTGGCTCCAAATTTGTTATAGGGCTAAGCAGCAGGGAGAAGGTTGAAGCCTTCCTAACTTGATGCAAGGTTCTCATGTCCCGGTTGGATTTTTAAGGAATTTGTGGTTATCAGTTCTACTATCACAGTTCTGCTATTGGAGTTGCTCTTTTGATAATGTTATGACATCATTTGATGAAGCCCACCTTTCTAAGTTTGGAAAACACAGATGTGAATCTTTGATAGATACAGGCAGATGTTTCCAGCTGTTTTGATAGTTGTCTTGAAACCCAAGGTTTTACCTACGAAGGTCACATTTGTGATAGATGTAAATGTAGATACCAGCACCCCAGCTTAGTACACTATCAACATGAAAGAGATGTTTGAAATTTTCTTCATCCTTAGTGAATCTACCAGTGGCTTGTACAAGCATCAGGGGCAGGGTTAGGATGGCTTGCACAAGCATTAGGCCTATTTAGGGGCAGGGTTAGGGATTTTAAACACCACCAGACAACTCAGTTGGCACTACCATCAATTTGTCCAAATCTAAGCTGAATTCCTCCCTCATCCTTTTTGGCCATTTTCAGACACTTGTCAATATAACTTCTAAGAAAAACATGACAAAAAAAAAATCATGAGTAACATTTTTGTGCAGGATCCAGATGTAGTCTGGAAATAGCCTCTACCAGGCTTTGGGAGGCGACTGGAAAGAGTAGAAATCGGCCAAATAGAGAGATAACATGCCAAGGGAGTTTGCTGGAGTGGCAAACTGTTCTCTCCAGCAGACCAACTCCCCTGGCATGTTATCTCTCTATTTGGCCGATTTCTACTCTTTCCAGCCGCCTCCCGAAGCCTGGTAGCAGAGGCTAGCCTGGAAATATGGGAACAGCTACTGCACTGTAGTAGTAGATAGTTTTTGTTATCTGATGGACTAGAGATATAACAGTTACTGCAAATTAACTTGATAAACACTGAACAGACACACAGTCCATAGGGAGGGATAGATGACTGGTAAGATAGTGCAGTCCTCACTGAGGAAGATATCATCAAAGATTTCTATGAAAAAAGGACGTGGATGTATAGCACACCCTCTTCTATGCTACGCAAGGTGCTAAACACAATTAAGCCCTTTTTTTGTCCCTAATGCCGCCTTGGGTGGCCAATTGGACCCTCTCTGTCCAACGGATTTGCCTGGCCATTATGATACTGTCTTTTGCCACCCTAGAATCTGCTTGAAGATTAGTCCTTCCAGCTAAAATCTGAAATTCCTTTCTATGAATTGTTTATTTCGGTTCACACCTCGCAGCCATTCGGCTGAATTATGTACAACTTACAAAATGTCTCTGAGAATTTGAAATTAAAGGTGTTACACTCAATACACTGTGAGGTTACGAGTGTTGGAATTAAGTTTTGCGATAAATGATCATTTTCTTTAAACAGTTCAATATTAGGATCAGTCAACAACAGCAATATTGATTAGTTCTAAAATATTGCACACACTTCAGTAAGAGAAATGACATTAAAAGGATTATCTCTTCACAGAGGAACTCATGGATCCTCCAGTATGATGAGACATTCAGAGAGGACCTGTCAGAGATCATCAATGACATCAGTGCCGGGCTGAACGTCCAACCCACCGACGTGATCTACGTGGAACCGACCCCCAAACTCCGGCGGGAAGGGCTGCTGGAGGTCTCCATATTTGTGTATAACAGGACCAGCAGGACAGGTGAGGAGAATAGATAGAAGGACAGAGGCAAATAGAAAGATAGAGGCAAATGGCGGGCTGCCATCAAGCCTCAGTCAGCGTCAGAGTGCAAGCACGTCTATCCCTCGGAAGACGGGGAACAACAGACGATAAACTAGCCTGAGTTTTTTTGAGCGTTGTGACTAATGTCACAACTTAGTCTGGTACCCAGTTTTCTTCAGGCTGGGGTCCAGAGCTGTTCAAGGCTGGACAACAGGCTATGTCTGCGGCCACTCACTCAGTCCTAAAGGAAACATAAACTAACTCCACATAAACTTTACATGATCATTTTTGCAAAATGAACCCCTCACACAATAAAATTACATTATGGGAAATTGATACATAGCTAAAAAGGATGTGCTTGAGGAATAAGTTCAAGAAATATTATTACAGACTTTCAGATAGTATGATCTGGTTTCTTATAAGCAATGCAAGTTATTTCTTGCATCAGTTATACCAATTTGCTGTTCAGTGGTTCACAGCTTAGCCTGAGCTTTGACCAAATCAGAACCACAGAGAGCAGATAACACAGAGACAACAGAGATCCCCACTTCAATTAATGAGGGCTTGCATGGGGGGTAGTGATTATGAATTACGCAAAATTTTCGTTGCCGATTACGATCGTACGAGCTGATTACTACTTAACGCTTTGTGGCTAATGAACTATTACAAATTACGTTCACTTGATTTTTGGGGAGGCTGTCTACGGATTACGAAGACTACAAAGGCCTCAGTGATTATGCCTTACGAAAAAAGGGCATGCAGCCCCCCAGATAACCCTGAGACATCAGAGATCCCCACTCCAATTCATGTGGAGAGCATCACTCACCACTGAACCCCCGGGAAGGCATCTGGGTTATCTTACTAGATAGAAGTTGTGCTGTCTATGGGGACAACAGTAAGCACTGCTAAGGCTCAGGATTTGTCCCAGTCCTTAAAGGTCTTTTTCTCTGATCCCTGTGGCAAAATCGGTGCCATTGTTAACAAACAAAGAGAAATGGGAACAATCAATATTTACAAGGCTTTAAAGAGGGCTGCAGGCACTGAAAATATTGCTTATTGTGTTGGAATCTGTGCCAATCCTTTGCAGACTGTAATTTAAAATCAACTTGGCACGCACAAAATGTAAACAAGTTTGGGAAGTGTATGCTGCAACAATGTATGTCCAAGATACCTCGATGAAGGTAATACGATATGCCAAAAAGGAGTTACGCAAGCAACTGGATATGATTTTGGAAACGGTCAGACGTTTCAGCTAGTATCCACTAGATATCTCCAAGCAGATCTTTCGGTGGCCGCAGAAGACAGAATCAAATTGGCCAGGCAGTATCCATTAGCCAATAATGTCTGGCTAATGGACACTCCTCTGGCCAATGGATACTGCCTTGCCACCGTATAATCTGCTTGGAGATTATGCTCCAAGAGCAACCACACAACATGCAAAATCATTCCCAATGCATTATATCAATAGCTTTATATGAAAGAAGAAAATTCAATGATCCACCTATTGACCTACATATCAAAGTGTATTGGGTTTTCTTTTAGGAATATGATGACCAAAAGTGTCCCATGTGTTTCTAGCACTTAACCAGGACAATCAGGATCGATGTTGTGGGAACTGCAGCAATGTTTTCCCTGTCTAGGGCCACACCAATTTAATTTGTTGGTTCTCGGATTTTTTCAGGAAAAATATGAAGCGACAGGGCGAAAAAAAATAAAAATAAAAACAGATCTAGGCATCCTATTATAGCCCCAAATGCTACGATAGGAGGTATGAAGTCAAAACAAAAGGCTGGTTCAAAATTTAAACAATGAATTTTGAACTTCTAATGATACTACTGCATTGAAAGATGGAATAACTGTAACGACTAGGAAGAAAAGGACTGTTTTCAACTGTTCAGGGCAAAATATGAGCATTTTGCAGGTGATTCTGATTTTTTTTTTTTGCAAATCAGGAAAAAATGAAGAGGCGAATCCGAGAACCAACAAATTAAATTGGTGTGGCCTAGGTTTTTTTTTTGTGATGATGCATAGTGTTAAAGACAAGCTTATCTTTAGAATGAATGTGTTCCATATGAACCTCAATCAATACTGTGACCTGAATACGCGCACAGGGAGCAGCACAGATTATCCACTGTCAGTCACAGTTGCCAACTTGCCACAATAGCTGGAAGGCACTGTCAAACTTGTGCAGACACTGCAGATATCTGCTCAGATGAACATTTTTCAAGCTGCTTGAATGATCAGTCGCTTCCGAAGGTTGACACTCCTTTTGTAGTTTGCAAATGTTATGTTGGAAAATATGTGGTCTGCAACAGGCAAAATTCTGAGGTTATCCACTGTCAGTCACTGTTGCCACAAATGCCGGAAGGCTGATGTCAAACTAGTGCAGACACTGCAGATTATCTACTCAGAGGAACATTTTTCAGGCTGCTTGAATGATTTTCGCTTCCGTTGTATCGCTGATGACTGACAACAGTGAGGAAAGATGAAAGAGCAGATCTGATTGGTGGTGATATGGAATGATTTTGTCAGTGCAAAGATGAGGGCCTGCATGGGGGGGGGGTAGTGATTACAAATTACGCAAATTTTTCACTGCTGATTACGAATTACGTTTAAGTCTCAGAGCTGAGTACAACTTTACGCATTGCAGCTTATGTACTATCATGAATTATGTTGATTTTTGGGGAGGCTACCTACGGATTACGAAGACTAAAAAGGCCTGATTACGCCTTACGAAAAAGGGCATGCAGGTCCCAACAAATGCCGGAAGGCTGATGTCAAACTTGTGCAGACACTGCAGATTATCTACTCAGATGAACATTTTTCAAGCTGCTTGAATGATTTTCGCTTCCGAAGGTTAACACTCCTTTTGTAGTTTGCAAATGTTATGTCGGAAAATATATGGTCTGCAACAGGCAAAATTCTGAGATTATCCACTGTCAGTCACTGTTGCCACAAATGCTGGAATGCACTGTCAAACTTGTGCAGACACTGCAGATTATCTACTCAGAGGAACATTTTTCAGGCTGCTTGAATGATTTTTGCTTCCGATGTATCGCTGATGACTGACAAGGGAGAGGAAAGATGAAAGAAGAGATCTGATTGGTGGTGATATGGAATGAATTTGTCAGTGCAAAGATGGGGGCCTGCATGGGGGGGGGGTAGTGATTACGAATAACGCAAAATTTTCGCTGTCGAATTATGTTGATTTTTGGGGAGGCTGCCTATGGATTACAAAAACTAAAAAGGCCTGATTACGCCTTACGAAAAATGGGCATGCAGGTCCCCAAAGATGGAGGGTCTGTAAGTGTAGACTGGTCATTGGCTTGGTCTGCTTCCAGTGGCTGCTAGTGCTACTCCACTGGATCCCAAGCTACTGTACGTATGCTAGTATGAAATGACAAAGGCTGGCTTATAAATTGGAAAAAAACATACTGGTATCATTCATGTCAATGGGATCTATGTAATCCTAGAAAACTATGTAACAGCTAGCTCAGTCGGTAGAGCATGGGACTCTTAATCCCAGGGTCGTGGGTTCGAGCCCCACGTTGGGCGCCACTGTAAAAACCGAAAGGGGCGAGCATGTCACAACCGGGAATCGAACCCGAGTTGTCCGCTTGGCGGTCACCAACGCTAACCATTACACTAAAAGGTCGCACGACCATTTAGCATGGTCAGTTAGCACTGTTACAACTATAAAGACCTGAATTACTTTGAAGACGATTGTGGTTACCTGCTTCAAAGTGCATAAATAAATGTGGATGGCATTATTCATCACACCTCTGGTACCAAGAGGTCAACTCAGCATTGTGAATTCATCATTTCCGAAGCACTCAGCATCAAGCATTCCATCACATACAAAAAGAGAAGCATTCCATCCTTCCATGCACACATACAAAAAGAGAAGCATATCATGCAAAGACAGACTCACCATCATCACCATCATCATCATTACCATCATCATCACCATCATCATCACCATCATCATCACCATCATCATCACCATCATCATCATCATCACCATTATCATTATCACCATCATCATCACCATCATCATCATCAACATCACCATCATCATCACCATCACCATCATCATCATCACCATTATCATCACCATCACCATCATCATTATCATCATCCTCATCATCAACATCCTCAACATCACCATCACCACTATCATCATCACCAACATCATCATCATCACCATTGTCATCACCATCCTCATCATCATCAACAACATCATCACCAACATCACCATCCTCATCCTCATCATTTTGACTGATGCTGAGGCAGGCCACCACTGCTTTCCACAGTATAGGCAGTACCAGTAGTCTAAGTCTTTTTTTCCACTGCTTGGTGTTGCATAGGTACCAGTACTACATGTACATGTACATCCCATGTCTGCAAAAGGGTATGCTTCATCCAGACCAGGCATTCTTTTCCCATCATAGTGGACTGACACACCGCTGTATCATGTCCTCTTCTCCAGCTAAATGGCTTACGCAGGACGCATCGTGGATTTTAGACGCAACAGGCACTAGTCCCTTCAGATTAGAGAATGCTGCAAACGCCTTGGATGGCAACAACGAAACCTACTGGAACCTCTCTGGAGCCACCTATGGATACAACAACTGGAGCATTGTGCTGGATCTCACCGAGGCTCACACCATCACGGACATTGCGTTGAATAACTATGGGGACATCGTTCACGATATTGCAGCCTTCAAGTTGCAACGGTCGCGGATTGGGCACCCATACAACTGGGAGGATGTTCTGTTTGTTACTCACGTACAATTAGATACTGAAGGACGACAGGAGTTTGGTGGCAGTTTCAAGAAAACGGCACGGTATTGGAAGTTCGTGGTCACTGAAACCCTGACAGACACTCAGCCTTGGCTCCGGGAGCTAAATCTGAGAGGATATCCACTGGGTGAGGGACAGCATCTTTTTTTTTTCTTCACAGTGAGGGTTTGAGTAAAAAGACAAGTCTGCTGTCATCCTGCTGCTTGAAAAGAAGCTCTAAGCCATTACCTGCTCAAACAAAGTCATCACATTTCAGTAACGTTACATATATAGAGATACATGTACATGGGATGGACTAATACTCAGCAAATCTTATACCTACATGTACCATTCAAATGCACCATTTTGACGCATTGAAATATGCTTTTCACTGCAGTTTTGCTCACTCAGCTGCTGAAGACACCTGAGCCACATACATGTACTTTCACTCTAATCTATTTCAGTCTATAGAACAATAATCTATTTCATGAAAGGTCAACTTCACAAGAACATAAAGAATAAAAGTCTTTAATTTCTCTCTCTTAAGTATTGTCTCCTCTCTCTTCTTGGCTCTTTTATAGAATGGGGTCAGGGAACACTATTATTACCGGTAACACTATTTTTATACATCCAAGGAGGTTCTATTTAAATTTTTGTGTGCACAATTTTTTCTCACAACATCTTTTCTTTCAGGGAACAGCCACAATTTGTCATTTGCAAACTTGATGATATCAAGGATGCCTTTGATATTGCTTAAATTTCTACAATACAACATGCCCATAACCCACTTCTGCTTTGTGTTGTACAGATAACAAGCTAGAGAAGAGGGATGCCGACCAGTCCACGGTGTCTAAAGATGTCGTAGAGGCTGCCCTGAATCAGATGAAGGACCAGTATGAGCAGCAGGATAGGGTAAGTCTTTATCTTTTACTTGCCCTCTTTGCTAAATTTTGCTTCAATCAAACAGATTAGGACCAGCAGATACAAAGACCACCTGCAGAAATAAGAAAGACAGACTTTCATAATGGGGGTTTCCATGTATGCCAGTATGATATCTAAGCCTTGGGAAGCCTTCGATTAATATTACATTGATCAAGAGTACTAGTGGGCAAGGTCCATAACAGAAACAGGAGAAACTCTGACAGGTTGAGGACAATAAAAAGCAGAACTAAATGATATTGGAAATCACCAATTCCCTACTTTGCTAGACTGCTGAATGATTCAAATACTGCCTAGTTGTGCAGCACAGATGACTTTTTAAGATTTACACTGTTGTTAAATGTTGCTAGTAATTCTGAATATTTTTAGTGTATTACTAATTAAGAATTGTGATTTTAAGGACATGTAAAGGAGTGTGTAATTCAGTCGGCAGACTGCGAAATGCCAAATGTTGTTTTACTACAATAAACCATTCATACGTTTATGTCTCTCCAGGATGTTGAGATAGTAGAAGTCTCCCCAGGCCTTACCGCACCCCAGCCAGCGTTACCCACCAGACAGACCTCCATCTTCGGCGAGTACTTCTCCCTGTTCATCGCCCTTATAGTGATCGCGTGCGTCTGCGTGGTCATCATCCTGCTGGGCGTGCTGTACCTCTGCGTCCGGAAGAAGAAGGGGAAACTCCGAGACCACGAGAAGGTAACATCCGTGTCCATAATATCACCAGGGTCCATAATATTGCCACCTTTAGAAATAGTGTGCTTTAACATATTTTTACTGCAACATACTTTTGGTATGCACTCCTGCACACCTCAAATGTACATACCTAGGGTATGTTGCAGTAAAAATATCTTTAAGCACACTATTTCTCAAGGTGGCGATATTATAGACCCTGGTGATATTATGGACACAGATGTTATAGTATAGTGTATAGTGTAATATTGTTGATTGATGGCTGTATAGTGTAATATTATTAATTGCTGTAATAATTGATGCTTAATGTGTAATTTACTATGTTGATAAGATAAGTTTTCCTGTAGCATAATGTCAATGATAGCAGTTGAACGTGTATGTAAATAATTGTTGTATTTTATGTAAAGTTCTCCAGGAGGAATAGTGATGTACATATTATCACTAATGGGAGATTCCTAAATAAACAAACAATAAACAGGTGATTATGAAAAACTTAAACTTTTCTCCAACTTAAAATTTGACTCCCCAGAAATTTTCGACTGAATCACTCAGTCTTCCTCAGCTATCTGACCCAAATGCTGTGGACACGTGATTTTTCCCACGTGTGACGTCAGCAAAGGGTCAAAGGTTGTCTGAAGTCAATATCGCCCCCCGTCCCGGTTGAGCAATGGTTGAAGTGCCCTGATGTAAATGGCCTCTTTTATGCCTCTCTTGAAGTAATCCTGTTGGTATCCAAGATTCTGACCCCCTCCAGATCCACTGTGTGTCCCGGTGATTCTATGTGGATGTGCTGTGACACCTCAGATGCAACAGAATTGGGTCGTCTATGTTCTAGAAACCTGGTTTTTAGTGAGCGCTCAGTTTCCCTGATATAAGTTTCCCGACAGGGGTCTCTGTTAGTTTTTCCCTGGCAACTTATGTGGTAGATAACCCCACATTTGTCTTCCTTGGGAGTTTTAAGTTTTTCATAATGTAATTTACCAACTCAGATGAACTTTCATGCCAATAAACAGGTGATTGTGGACGACGGGCTTCGTCTGGACAGCTACCAGGCGCTCGACAACCCCGGCGCGACCTTCACGGACGACGAGATCCTGACGGGGCAGAACGGGAAACCGAAGGCCGAGGAAGCGTGGACTGTCAAACCGTCGGCGCCACCGCCGCCGAACGGGAGAATCGCGGAAAACACAGAGGAAGAAGACACGCATTTGTGACCAACTTTCTCTGCTTAGTTTGGTAAAGTGAAACATACATCAGTGTAAGACCTAGGAAAACAAATGTTGTGTTTCCTGTTTCAGTCCTGAAAAAATTAGGGTCGCTAGGTAGGGATTATCTTTTTTTCTTCCTTCTTTTAGACTTAGTGATATCTATATTGGGGTCCAGATCATGGAGCTAGAAAAGGTTGATCAGCTTGAAAAATTATGCCCCTTGCAGGGGTCCACCCTAAAAAAGAGGCTAGCGTTGGCAGGTTTTTCTAGGGTCGGTCGGGAAACAGGAAACACAACTTTTTTTTTCCTAGGCCCAAAGAGAAACATACAGCACCCATCTTGCCTATTACCAGTGAATGATATTGTCATCTGATCTTTTCACAAAAGTCAAACCGATTTTCAATCTATAGAGATACAAATCATTTTGTTCAACGTGACATTTTGTGCACATTTTTGATTTAGCAAATTTGCCACAAAACATCAGAATAGCAACTTGTGAGATTAAGTGCCAGGAAGAGTAAGAATTGATAAAATAAATGCGTATTGATGGTACAAATTAAACATTGCTTTCTCTTCTTGATAGTACTAAGTAAAAATATTTCACAATACAGTTTCACAGTTTTACTCAATGATTGTAACTGCAATTTTTGATAATCAGAGTTCATGTTATACATGTACTTAATACATCATTAAAGTAGACATCTAAGTAGTTTTTGTGGGTTTGAGGAGCAAAGAAGCTAGGGACTTCCAATGTATTTTTGTAGAAAAGACTATTACTGCTTGAATGGGTTTACAGTACAAGCAAAAATAACACTTAAAGTTAATGTAGCTCACATTTATAGCATTGTAGTGTCCCTGTCAAGTGACATCTTGACTACAATGATTATTACAGTACTCAGATATACTTTGTCATTCCAAGCATCTTCCTACACATGCTCTGTTTCAGAGATCGAGGATACATGTACCTTCAGTTGAATGACCCTTTTTCTTCTGATAGATACGAATTTAGTATACTGATAGGCGCATAAAAGTAATTTCCAGCAAGATTTTGTGAAGATTCTTCTGTTGATCTGAAATTCAACAAAACTTGTTGATCTTGCCAAGCTGGTGTTCTGATACCAGCACCAGCATTTGCTTCACATATGAAGGCATCAGAAATGTGAAAAGCCAAATATATCCCTGTATGTTATGTAGTTCACATACATTGCTTGATGTGTTTTAAAATAGAATTGCATTCTCCAGGATTATTGATGAAAAAAGACCAACTTATTTGTACATAGAAGTGCTAAGTTAGTTTTCTTACCTTTAGTTTCAACAAGTTTTGCTCCATTTGATCAACTTTCTTTTTTTGTGCACCAGAGCATTATGTTCTTTTATGTGCTGCAACCATAGTTATAACATTTCTAAAGTGTATTGATACTAAGTTGCAAGGATGTGGGGTTTGTGCACATGGTCCAGTGACACTCTGAGTACTTTGCAAAGAACCAAGAAATGAGATTTGGTGTGGCCTTAGGGGTGTGTGTGTGTGTGGTAGTACTACTAGACATTACTGGTATACAAGTCTAGAGATCTATGAGTATATGGGTGGCAGACTATTGCCTTGTTCACCCCCAAGAATTTGGTTTTAAAGAAAAGTACTTTCTACAGATAGAGTTGAGGACCATATGTATGTCCCCATGTAGTGCTTGCCTGAGTAACATGATTATTGCTAGTGTGAATAGAAACCTATCTTTTATCATAGGGGCTTGGAGTTGTACAATCATTGTATCTTGAACTATGGCCTTCAGAAAATGTGATGAGCATTAATATTGTTTTTTTTCCATCAGGCAAAAGTTTAGATTTCAAACTGATAGAAATTTAGGGGTGGTACTCTTCTTTCAGTAATGGCAAAAAGAGAAACCTTTGGCAATAACACAACAGGCTGGAGCATTGTGCCAATAGGTCACATTTTACGACTTTAGTATAATGGTAATAATATGATTATTTTCTGTGCCCATGTATATGGCTACTGAACAACAGAATGATGCAAACAGTACATGATGCAATGACGCCCCCTATCTCCTCAGGCACTAACTACATGCCATCGTTACTGCACCTTATTATGTACAGTCAAATGTTTTAAAAGAAACTTTCAAAGATTGAGATATTCATTGTACTGTCATTTTCTGAAACAATAAACTTTAATATTTCCAATATATGACTAAGTCTCAGTGATGAGAACTTTTTCTTCTTGTGATAAAAAAAATATGTGATAACATCAACAAAACATACATAACTAGCCTTCATATTAGCGTGTTGAAGAGAATGAAATATATGAGGAACAGCGTAACAGGAACTTAATATTTGACTGTCATAGCAGATGTCTCTTACTAACGTAGACAGTATACATGATCATTACATCTTATAGTCATATTACATGTCATCAAGTGTGATAGTAACACAATTAACAAGAAGATGATGAAGGGAAAGTTGTACTTTACATTATCTAAAGATGACGGTTACATTTGTCACTCAGTCTGTTGATTTCTGTCTTAGGGCTAGTCCATTATAAAGCTAGGAAGGGTGCTTCAGTGTACGTCGTGTGTGATTTCATTAACCAATATAACCGTCCTTCAGCATAACACACCAAAACTGTTATGTTTGCATATATGATGGCTGTCAGTCAGTAAGAACTGGTTAACATCCTAATCCTTCAGATCATATGGAACTAAGCTTTGTTTCATATTTATACTCACCCCCCTCTTTCCTTCTTGCTATAACCTTCCTGCATAGACGATGCAATGTCCCAAGTCCAGTGTCTAACGACTTAGTTTCAAAGAATGCTCAATGCCTTCTAGCGAACTTTTCAAACAAAATGGCCCTTATGTCCTTCAGCATATAAAGGCATGTATGTACAGGTACATGTAGTAGTATTGTTCTTTGTTCTCATTTGCCTCTTGGTTATCTGGGTTTTAAACAAATCTCAACATGACTTAACAGTTTTGTTCATATTCACGAAACCATGCTATTTTGCAATACTAGTAAGGCTGCACATCTTTTTGGCACACACATACCTCATTTGAGAAGAAAACTATTAATAAGACTTCTTTTGGCAGTTGCCAAGTTTGGCACGTTCTTGCCTGGACATAAAAAAATCACTTATAAAACTAACTTCTCTTTGGTTACCGAACTGGAACATGTAAGTACCTGTTACAAACGTTTTGGTTACTTGTTAGCAAAACAGGAAGAGACAACAAGAAACAGAAGACTAAAACTATCTCTCCTAAAACCTAAAACTCCTGCTATAAACTAATAAAATAGAAGCGTGGATATACCAACTGGGTGTTCTGCTGGTTAGTCAACAGGCAAGCAGCAAATAAACTTCACTTCAAGTGTTGCAGAAAAAATAAGGCAGCTTCTTCATGGCTGCTTTTCCCTTAGAAAAAACTGAAAATGTTGGTATCGCACTGTTTCGCCCAGATAAAAGCAACATAACAAGAAATCAATCATTACACATGTATGTCTAGCATGCTTCTACGGAAGGCACATGATTGCTCTGACCGTGTTACAGCATCTCATCATCTAGAAATGTTCAGCTACTCAAATTTTGGCCACTTGACATGATTCTGATCCATGCACTGTCCTTTGGCATGTACCTTTTCAACTCTCTTGCAGTTCAAGTAAGTTTGAGGTGACCTCCACATTCAGGAATTCTCGGCATCCAAAACAAGCCGGGTGCTAGACCCTCCCTGTGTCCTGTCATCTTCTCAAAAAGGATTGTAAAACATTTACAAAGCAATAGTGTATGCAATGGTGTATAAAGTTCGTAAGTATATAACCTCTAAAATCTTCTTTGGTATCAAAACAAAGTTATACATAGTGCACATGTGCAAACAAAACTTTCAGTTGTGACCAGTGTTGCCTGTGTACCGTCATCCTCTCAAAAAGGATTGCCAAATAGTTACAAAGCAATAGGGTATGTGTGAAAAAACTTTCAGTTATAACCAGTGTTGCCAGACCTAACCAGGTGCTAGTCCCTCCCTGTGTGCCCCCATCCTCTCCTGTACTGACTGTTCGTTGTAGATGTTGACCCTTCGAGCAAAGCCTGCCTGCACCAAGGCGTAGTCAATCCTGCTGTCGCTCTCCTTACTGGTGTCGAACAGGGCCACGTACAGGGTGTCATTCCAGCCTCTGTAGAATAAACCATTTAAACATGGTTAGCAACTTCCAATAATAGTTTCATCAGATTGGTAGAGTATAGGATATAGGGGTTTTCTTTTAAACAACCAATAAATATTGTCTTACCTTGCTTACGTTATGGTGTCTATCAGACACCTTCCTCAATACTTCAGTCAGAATTTCTGAGGTAAGAGACAATATTGGTTGTGTAAAAGAAAACCATTATATCCTATGGTTTAAGCTACTGGATGTTTTACGTACATGTACTACAAATACCCAGTAAGGATGGCTTTTTTTAAAGCTTACACACAAGACATTTCTCTAAGATTGCACCCTCCCTTTACTGAAAAATGTGTTACACATTTGCACAATGAAGAACTTCCATTGCTATTTTGTTACCCATATGAAGAGGAGTGTTCTTTGTCTAAATTGTATTCCTTATTTTTCTGTGGTAATACACATAGTTACATGTATCATTATCTAATATATAGTTTTAAAGAAGTTGCTGATTTGAAGAATAATAATATTGATATATGTTACAACTGACTCACCTGGACAGAATATGAGCTATCAGGACTTTCCCTCCAGTCAGCTCAAAGAACACATCCCTGAAACATGGAGATAACCACACGTTATCAAGAAATAACCTTTATGGTACTTTTATGTTAGACAAAAACATAACAGAATTCAAACCATACATGTATGAGGATGGCATTTAGTATAAGGAACTGTTACAGGTCTTTTAATAGAACACTGAACAGAAACAGGGACAGGTCTGGTTGTTGTTGAATACTGATCAGCACCAAGGACAGTGCCATATTAACACTTATACATGTTGTGTAGGCTCAAAGGTCCACTTTTTATCTAAAGGTCCAAGATTTTTTCTTTGAAAGATGGACTTTAGTTTGCCATTTCGGAAAGTTCAATCTTCAATTTCCAGGGGAGCATGCCAGATCCCCATAGGAATCTTGCGCCTTTGGTGCTCGCTGGTCCCTCAGACAGTGGGAAGAACCCCCCCCCCCCAGCAAAATCCTGACTATGGGTATGCATGGTATGCTACAAATGTACCTTAAGTCACTGCAACATCTATCCTCACCTGGCAGTTTGGGACCACCTGGGCTTCCCCTGGTCTGTAGGGAGAGGTTCTATGTTGGCCAGGTAACACTCCACTGCCTGGAAGGGAAGCTGGCAGAACCTGGGTTCTATCGGATGAATATCTGTTTCCTGGACCCTCTCCTTGTTGCCATAGTCAACATAGAAAACCTGAAATGGGCGAGGTAAAGCAGTTATCTACGGCCGTGAAGGTTGGACATCCAGGTAATAGATACGCCAAAAAACTTGGGAAATGGTCAGACGTTTCAGGCAGCATCCACTACCTTTCCATAGTGACACTGGGGAGTTAGAAAAGCAGGTTTATAAGTATGAACTATTGATTGATATGCAAATAAGGAAGACAAATTTTTTTGAAAGTCCAAAAAGAAACAAAATTCATGGGTTTAGGTCTGGACTTGAGCCTAAACCTTTGGACATGAGTCTGACCTGAACCTAAATGTGGGTTTAGGTACACAGCACTAAATGTGTAATGCTCACCCATACTTCCTGAGTTTCAGTGTTGACACTGGTTATCCTGGCCCTGTAGAACTGACTGTCCTGGCTGTACTTAGCAATGACAATCTCCTCCCAGTGCCAGGTCTATGCCCACCTCCCTCTCTCCATACACCTTCTTGGAGTAGTGCTCACTGTATGTTAGGATAATTACATGTAGGTTACCATTCAAACATTATAATGAATGAATGAATGAAAGAAGACCTTTATTGTACGTTTGTGCTCTAACAAGCTAAGTACAGGTCATGAATAAACAGGGAAAGAGAATACAGCTGCAATGACACTTACATACTATATATACTAATGTGATCTAGCACTATATACAGGTACACAAGTGGGGTCGTGGGGCACAGATGCTAACGTGTTCGGCTTAGGACCAAGATGTTGCGGGTTCGAATCCTACCATGTCACTGATCTTGTGCCCTTGGAAAGGCACTTTACACGATTTCCTCAAATGTATTTTGTTTTTTAAAAACTATCCACATTTTTCTTGGCTTGTTCCTTACCATTTTTTTTAGAAACTTCCAAGCCAGCATATATTTCAATTTCTACAATAAACAAACAATTACTGATAACATAAAAAACTTACTTAATCTCTTTACTGAGCTCATCCAGAGGATTGGGTTTGTCTACATCAATACCGTCAGCAGCTGGAAAGAGAATAGATAGTTCTTACTCATCAAAATACTTTAAACATTGGAAACCTTTATTGAAAGGCCCCCTTGGAAATCAGTTGTTTATCAACTGAAGGGGCGACCCTCAAGATTAATAAATAAAAAAAATAAATGAAAGTCTGTATCTATGGTATAATTTCCACACTTTGCATTACAACACATTTCTTATGTACACATAATAATTTTCACACACCTTGTTCAGTGTTCGAAATACCTGTCTGCAGTCTGCAATCTGCAGATAGATTTTCAAGATTGCAGAAGAAAAATTTATACAATCTGCAATTTTGCAGCAGAAAAAATTGGCACTTGGGATTTGGTGCTCTTGGCCCCATGGACAGACAACACTTAAGCTCATGTTCTGAAACAACAGGAGCTTCTACATCAACCTTGTCTTGACTTGTTTATCTTCTGTTTCCTTTTGGACTTCCAAAAATTTGTCTACACATTGCATATCAATCAACAGTTCATGCTTATAAACTCGTAAGATTGTAGTATAGAGGCTTGTGTATTTGCAGAAAGTATTTCCAAATTGCAGAACAAAATTTTGACTCTTCTGCAATATTGCAGAGCACTGAAAAAAAGTATTTCGACCACTGTTGTTGATTACAGTATTTAACTAATATATCATACAAGTAGGTTTATATATAGTTTTAAACTGACACTCCAAGACAGTAAATGTTAGATCTCAGATCTGTATTAAATCCTACATGTACAATCACTCAGAAAACACATCCAACGTAATCTAATTTTTATATCTGTCTTGAAAAGGTAAAGAATACATATTAGTACAAATGTATTTCTGCATTGACATATATGGGATTCTGTACTTCAGAATTTACACATGGTTAGCAGAATGTTGTAAATGCTAGAAACAGGAGAGCATAGTTACCCATTTCCAGTAGTTCGTCATGTGGCACTCCCCCGTACGTGAACTGTACGAAGAAGTGTCCAGGGTTGAACACAGAAGTCACCTCCACGGCTACCAGTGTGTGTACCGGAGGCAGGTCTACCATGTGGTTAAAGCACACAACTGCCCTTTTTCTCTGTCACTGTAAGGTACAAAAATTAATAAAGCTTTTAAAGAAATGCTGTTTAAGGTGTCAGGGCTTGAAATTAAAGGTGGTCCAATGGTCACTGACCAGTAAAATTTAGGCTGGGACAACTAAAATGACCTTT